ATGAGTCAATAGTTGAGGGACGAACTCCTAGATAGGCCATTAACTACTGTGTTACAGTTAAGGATGGGATGTATACTCTGACCATGTTTATGCAATCTCACCACATGCAGTATAGTACGAATGTATTACTTCCTTCAAATGGTCCTACACTTGGGTTGGGAGAGCTACCTAGTGATGGGCGATCGTGGGTTATTTAATCTGGTATTTGCTTGTTTATCGCAACTGACCGCTCGTTTTCGTCGAAGCTCATGGACTTTGGTCACTAAAAGTTGCTACTTCTCTACTAGCTGGGTCTCTGTTTTCGTTGGTCCCATCGGCAGCAGCCGGGTTTCATCATGTCGTGTGTTTTGGGGCTCGACTTCGTTTCCAACACGGCCCTTCCTCTTTTTCACATAGGCTTTTCGCCCATTGTCCCGTGGATCTGCCGTTAGGCACATCGTTTGGGTTGGTAGGAGCTTCGCTTCGTGCACCCTGCAGTGCTGAAAGACATACACTGTTGTTGGGGTCTTATCCAATAGGTCCATGGTTTTCAAGTCGCGCGACTAGGCACGACTAGGCGAGTCGATGAGTTGCAAAAAAATGTCGACTCAACTTAGTGTTGACTCGAGTCGCGTGTCGAGCGACTCATCCATGAATAGGTCATATCCCCGGTGCCCAAGTTGCGTTAGTGTTTAGGTTACCTTATTTACCTTTGCTTTTCCACACAACCCTCTCCTTTTTTTGTCATGCATCAGCATGCTTCGGGTCGATGGAGAGCTGCTCCGTGCTTTTCTTTCCCACCCTACTCTTCTCTGATTAAGCTGCCTAGTGCCTGCCGCTGGGCCATAGCCACTGTTGGGGCTGCACGGCAGCCGGGTGCTCCTTTCCACAGTAAGAACCAAGCGGGTGGTTAAAGCCTACACCTCATTATGAATAATAATGCTGCCCCTCTCTTCCCAACTCTGTGCTCTGTGCTTTCCTTCTTGTCGTGATGGAAAGGGGCTCATGGCGTGTAACCATCGGTTTCAGCCCCTTTCATGGAGATCAAGGCAACAACAACCACATCCACAATGATGGACGATGGTGAAGAGCCAAGCTCATATATCCATCTAAATATTTTCCTGTTTTGTGCAGCAATCTTTTTGTTCATAAGTGCCACCCATTTATAGTTTTGCTATTAAAAGAATGAAACCGACTTGCTACTTTAGTTATGACTACATTTTAGATAGAGACCTTAATATGGTGTCCGATGTTGTCCTGTGATTGCTATGGTAGTGCACAGGGACCCACGGCATTCTTAGTGTCTCCAAGACTATCCGCAGTAAAATTGTTAAAGTTTCAGCCATGATGTGTGAGAGAATGTTTTTTTCTTATTCAATTTAGGAGAGATGTTTTACTCACGTAGCTAGAAATCTGAAGTTCTTGTTAGTTTGTCGGTTAGCGGCACATATCAAAATTGTGTACATTTTGCGGAATGAAAATAGAAATCAGAATTGGGTTCAGTACAAATCTTTAATTTCTTTCTGCTTGATGCAGGTGATCACATGATTCAGTTGACCAATAGGTTTTCTTCAGCAACCAGGTACAATCCCAGTATGTTTTGATTCACATGACCGGCGGTTCCAAATTTCATCTAACTGCAATCTCAAAGCTACTAAAATTCTTTTTTCATTTGGATTTTGTTCTATTATCAGCACTTGATCATACTAGTTGAATCAGAGAACAGGGGGCAGGTAAGCACTAGATGGTAAGAAAACTAGGTGAGTAGGGAGGGAGGCACTATCATGGACATTCTAATTTAGATTTTATCAGTCCTCACGGTTATCATCATCTCTTTGCAAATTTTGCAAAAAATAGTGTTCTGTCATGGTCATTTGACAGAATGAAGAGAAAAACAAGTGTAGGCTGGTAGAAGTGGAACTTCCGAATTACCACCTTGCTTTCAACATAATAGTTGGTTTCTTCGTTTTCTATTTGTATGACAGCAATATATATATATATATATCAGTAAAAACGAAAGAATGTTTGTCAGCTAGTTTTAGACGTGGTAACAGAATACCAGTAAAACATGTTATTGCTATATATTAATTTTTTCCTTACTGATATTTTGTGCTGCCTCTTTTTAACAACATTAGTTATTTGGCAGATGCACATATGCCGTTTAATGAGGTGAGATCTTACAGTGTGGTTTTACCTGTCAGCCAGTGCTCTTTTATTCTTTTCCCTTTTTGTGCTGGACCCATTTTCAGTGCCTTCCTCCCTGTTTTGTAGTTTCTTTTTTTTTCTTCACTTTTGAAGGATATTGCGGGATGTTTAAGCATGGAAGATTCGCTATTTTTTCCTTCTACTTTTTTACTTTTTTTGGAGCAACCGACGGGAGCTCTGCCTTTCCGTGTAAAAGAGGAAAATTGACCAGCTTATAAGGAAAATTGGCTGTAAACAGATACAATTGAGCCATGCACACCAGCACGAGGCTGCACATACAGCGAGCCGACTTTTCTACCATCCAAGCAACCAGAATCGACACCCAACAACACAACCTGGTTGTGGAGCCACCACTCCGGCATACAAACCATCAGCGCCCACACACCAGCCAAGTTGATGACTTTGCCACCCAAGTGATTTGACTCGACACCGGTCTCGAGATCGCAAAAGATCCTCGGAGCGGTCGCTCCGGCCTCAGACACCCGCCTCGAGATCACATACCAAATGAGTCGATGACTTTGCCACCCAATGACTCGATAGTGTATGTCACAAAGGCTGTCTCCCGAGCCACCACTTCGGCCTCCCACGGGCCCCGAGGCCGTACACTTGCCTAGTTGACGTCAAAACCATGGGACAACCTCAACCATTGTCATCTGATAGAAGACTGGACCTCCAAAGGTGATGCCCCAAGGGGGAAGCGATGCGAATGCCGCCGACGCCCGCTCATGGCCTAGTTAGAGCTTGAGATTCACCCGGAGAGCTCGAGATCCAAATGACGAGGGAGCCGAGGACGCCGCTGTCGCCGGCATCGTCAGAAGTCAGTGCTGGGCTTTCCCCTGGAGTTCACCATACAACTTGTCGCTGGCCATTTTCAATAATAACAATAGCTATGGAACCCAAGCAACTCGTCACCGACAACAACCAACTTACTTGCGACAAACCAATGCAACATGTTGAACTGCCATCGCCATCCCTGAACCACACCCATGTGTGAGTGACACTATGCTGCCATCTTTCGTCCATGGCACACCAAGTAACGACACCATGGGCGCCAACATGCTGGCACCAACAACCACCAGTGGCCGGTGCCCTGCCTCCCCAGGGACCCTCGACACCAGGCAGCAACCATCGCATCCGGAGCCACCACTCGAGCCTCCATGTACAGTTGAACCCTCCAGGTCTGGAGCAAGACCACTACTGCAGCCTGCTACTGCGACAGACCGTGGGCCGATCCAGGAGACAAAGGACAGATCCAGAGCAGCATCAACGAGCCCTCCCTGGCTGCCGCCACACAGCCTGCACAACCCCTGAGGGCAGATCCGGGCGTGGCAGCCTAGGTTCGGCGACGCCGTGTCGACAAGACTGCCGCACCTGTGGCCAGGATAGTCAACCACCCGCAGCCGAGCATGGGCGCTGAAGCACACCACCCTGACCACCACCCGAGCTCCCGCCTCCCCCACATGTGGTCCTCTGGCGAGCTCGTCCTGGGGCCGTTGCTCCGACCTCCACACGCTAGCCCGCCAAGTGCTGCCACACCAAACCGCGGGCTGATCACCAGAGCGTACCGACGAGAGCAAGAACTCCCCATCACCTTTGGTAGCAGGGCCTACGGTTCCCCTGATGTTAACTTGCAACGCAGATTTCCCCTTGTTGGATATCTGCAGTCCCTTTTTCTTTTAGTTCTTTTACTTTTTATTACAGTCTATTCTTGTGTCATTTTTCCTTCTTTTCATGGATTCTTTGATCAAGAATTTGTCTTTGATTTCTTTATTTTTACTTGATTGAATGTGGATGCGATTAAAGAAGAAATTGAATTAGACTACTTTCTTACTATTTCAATTTACTAATCTGTTCTATGTAGATTTGAAGATAATACAATCTACCACACTTTACGACTTGTTTTTTTGTTGTTGTTGGTTAATCAATCATTTAAGACTTGTTTTTTTCATTAACCCCTTCATTTCTTCAGTGATTAATTGAAATTTCAATTGCTCATTTTAGCTGACTACTTTTACATCAGGATGTTGCAAGTCAACATACACAATCACTGGACTGCATTATTAATTGTTGGTTATTTTGCTACTATTCAGTTTAGAAGTATGCAGTCACTATCAGTCTTTTAGGTGAATATCTTCTGTAAACTGAATCAGCGGGCTATGGAAATTTTGTACTCTCACTGTAAGATTTGTTGATTTCAATATTAGTTTTTGTACTAATATGAACACACTTGCTAATGTCCATGCCTGTAATTGTTCGGAAGATTAAATTTGGTTAGCCAAGTTTCTTTGTATGGATTTCCATCAGTTTAA